GGAATTTACAGTGGGAATTAAGGAGCGCCTGTGCTGCTGCTGCTCTTGGACCCCCCCCCCATCCATGGATGGAGGGTTGAGAAAGGGAGATCGGGAAAGAGACTTCTCTGGAAATACCTGTTACTTTACTGTGAGTCCCCACCTCTTTCCCAAAGGATAGGTGATGTTACTTCTGACCACAAGCCAGGTGAGGGAGACCTCATGGAGAGGACTTGGGGAGCTTTGGAATGTGTGTCCTGCAGATAGATGAGAGTCAGAGGGGACAGGAGCCTACGACAGATCTGGGAAAGTGAAAATGCATTATAGGCTCCCGTTAGGAAGACAGGAGCATACTGCCGTGTTGCAGATCCTGGAATCTGCCGGGGCAAGGAATGTCCACGGTGGGCAGTGAGGGCTACTCACAAGACAGCCTGCTTGGTGGTCTCGGGTGCTGTACAACAACAGGGGCATTCGGGAGGGTGAGGGGGGGCATTGAGATGTGTGAGTGTGGCCAGATGTCCAGTGGTGGATGAAGGAGTTGCAAAGGACCACCCAGAATAGAGATGCATCCACCCCAGGTCAAGGGTAGGAAGGAGGGAATGAGAGAAAACTTCTTTTTTTTTTTATTTCTTTTTTTTTTTTTTTTTTGAGACAGAGTCTCACTTTGTTGTCCGACTAGAGTGGAGTGCCGTGGCATTCAAGCCTAAGCTTCATGGCAACTCCACACCCCCCTGCGGCCTAAGCATTCCTTCTGGCCTCAGCTCCAAGTAGCTGGGACTACAGGCACTGCGCGCACCATGCCCGGCTAATTTTTTTATATATATTTAGTTGGCCAATTAATTTCTTTCTATTTATAGGTAGAGGCAGCGGTCTGGCTCTTGCTCAGGCTGGTTTCGAACTCCTGACCTTGAGAAATCCACCCGGCCCTTGACCTCCCAGAATGCTAGGATTACAGGCGTGAGCCACCCCGCTCAGCCAAGAGAAAACTCTTAGACAGCAAAACTGCCACTTAACAGAAAATAGTTCAGCTTAACTGCCTGCCAGGCACACAGAGTGCAAAGCCACTCAGCCAGGTAAGAACAGTTTTGTCACCTCCCCACCCTTCCCATCCTTGGCGTGGAGAGGGGAAACAGGAGGTGGGAAGCGCCTGAGAGCACTGCTTGGAGCGGAGCAGGAGCCCGCTCGACCGCCCCGTTCCGTTACTACTTCATCTCAAGCGCTTTGCCTGCAGCCTTCGCTGACGGCATGGTGAGAAGGTATAAACTGAAGTATGTGCAGAGAGCAGGAGCCTTCTTCCCCCGCTGCTGGGCTTCCTGCCCTGGCAACAGGCCAGTAAGGGGAGATTTATTTGGAGTCAAAAAGTATACTGGGCCAGGCGAGGTGGTCACGCCTGTAATCCTACCACTCTGGGAGGTTGGAGACGGGGCAGTTGCTGGACCGGTCAGGAGTTCGAAGCCACCACCTGAGCAACAGAGCCAACCCATCTCTACTGATCAAATAGAAAGAATTAATTGGCCACTATATTATATAGAAGAATTAGCCGGGCGATGGTGGCACATGCTTGAGTCCCAGCTACTCGGGAGGCTGCAGGCAGGAGGGATTGCTTAAGCCTCAGAGTCTGAGGTTGCTATGAGCTTAGGCTGGATGCACTCACTCTAGCCTGGACAACAAAGTGAGACTCTGTCTCAAAAAAAAAAAAAAAGTAGTAATGGAATATTGTATATTACATAGGATGGGAAGTACTCATTTGTGAACTGAAACAAGACACCAGGGCCAGAGTTCTCATCTGGGGCAGGGAAGATTACGCCATTGAGTAAGCTTAGAGGGGTAGTGAGAGCTGGGAATGAAGTTGCATTTGAATCACAGTCCATGAGCAAGGATGAAAATTAGACTTGAAGATCATGCTCTGAGAACCTACTTTCTCCACACTGGACTGAGAGAGCTTAGTGAGGGCTGGGGGTGGAAATTATTGCCCTCTCTTCAATTGGCATAAGTGGGCTGTTTATGCCTATTTATGGAGGCAGGTTTAATACATCCGAATGCAGTTACCTTCTGGCCATCAGCAAACTCACTGTAGCATTCATGAAGGTGCCCCTCGGTTCTCCCTTCAAGAGAACACTCATCTTTGCCTGCGAGGAGTGCAGTCACCTGACAGCTCCAGCCGCAGCACCTTCTGAATCCACACTCTTCCTGGGCAGCCCCAGCCCAGGCTGTGCAGAGTCTGGGTACTGGCATCTGGAAATTCTAGCACAGACAGGGTCCTGGTGCCTGGACATGCCTGTCCAACACGGGCCTCTTTGAATGGGCACCAGACGTCCCTGCTGAGTCAGTGGAGAGTGTGATATTTACATTGCCAACTGAGGTTCTTCTGTCTCAATTGTGCCTCCTTCTTTTGTCTTTCACAGGCATTACCCCTCTATTAAACCTCTTTTACCCCTAACTCCAGCATCTGCTGCTCAGGGGACCTAATTGATATACTTACCCTTTAAATTCTGAACGTTATGCAGGTGACCTTGTTTTATTTTTTTCCCTTGTTTTTATTCTATCATTTATTATTATTATTATTTGAGACAGGGTCCTGGGCTAGAGTCTCTGTCTCCCAGGCTAGAGTGTAGTGACATCATCATAGCTCACTGCAACCTCAAACTCCTGGGCTTGAGCGATCCTCCTGCCTCAGCCACCCAAGTTGCTGGGACTACAGGTATACAACACCACACCTGGCTAATTTTTCTATTTTTTGTAGACATGGGGTCTCGCTCTTGCTCAAGCTGGTCTCAAACTCCTGGCTTCAAGCGATCCTCCTGCCTTAGCCTCCCAAAGTGCTGGAATCATCACAGGTGTGAGCTGCCATGCCTATTTTTATTTTTGAATTCACAAAAAGTGTATATATTAATGATGTACAGTATGATGTTTTTAAAAATGTATAGATTGTAAAATGGCTAAATTGAACTATTTAACACATGTATTACCTCATATACTTATCATTTTTTGTGGCGAGACCCCTTAAAACCTACTCATAGCAATTTTCAAGAATATAATACATAGTTATTAACTATAATCACTATGTTGTATAATAGATCTCTTGAAATTGTTCCTCCTATCTAACTGAAAAATTTTTTTTTTTTTTGAGACAGAGTCTCACTCTGTTACCCGGGCTAGAGTGCCGTGGCGTCAGCCTAGCTCACAGCAACCTCCAACTCCTGGGCTCAAGCAATCCTCCTGCCTCAGTCTCCCAAGTACCTGGGACTACAGGCATGCACCACCATGCCCAGCTAATTTTTTCTATATATTTTTAGTTGTCTGGCTAATTTCTATTTTTAATAGAGACAGGGTCTCACTCTTGCTTAGGCTGGTCTCAAACACCTGAGCTCAAATGATCCACCTGTCTCGGCATCTCAGAGTGCTAGGATTACAGGCGTTGAGCCACTGCACCCGGCCTGAAATTTTTAATTTTTTGACCCAAATCTCCCCAGTCCAGCCCCTGGTAACCACCATTCTACTCTGTCCTTCTGAGTTTTATTTTTTAAATTGCATGTATATAATAAGTGAGATCATGCAGGATTTGTCTTTCTGTGCCTGGCTTATTTAACTTCATATGTCCTCCTGGCTCATCCATGTCATCACAAATGGCAGGACTTCCTTCTTTTTTGCTGCTGAATAGTATTCCATCGTGTGTATATGTGCCACATTTTCTCTATCCATTCATCCGTTGATGGATGTGTAGGTCGATTCCCTGTCTTATACAGAGCAAATGAGGCTGTGGTGACCATAGCAATGCAGATACCTCTTAACTTACTGATTTCATTTCCTTTGGATGGATAACCAGTAGTGGGGTTGCTGGATCTAATTTTATTTGTTTAAATAAATTTTTCAAATAAAAATGTTTTCTACTACTCAGACTGAAACCTGATCTACCTTTAAAAAAAAAAACCCAATCCCTGTGTCTTTATAGTCATAAATTGAACTTTAAGAACGATTCATTTCACCTTAAATACCATCTCTCCCTGATGGCTTTTCCCCAACCCCCCTAACTCCAACTTTGTCAGATCTCCTTGTTATATAGGTGCCCTCAATTTTTCCTTTGGTAAGACTCATTAAACTTGTAGTTACTTGTCCAATGTCCATTCTTAGCCTCTGAGCTCCATGAAGTCACTATCTAAAATTCCTGGTCATTGCTAGTTTCGTAGCACTAGGGACAGCTTGTGAGCTATAGAAGCTTCTCCATAGACATTTAATCAAGTGCTAAATTCACTAACAAAAGATCTGAAATGTTGGCATGAGAATGAAGCGGAATGTCCACCTCCACTGTGCCCTGGTCTTGAGACACCACTCTTACTTCCTCATCATGGCACAGACTCATAGAAATGATTATTAGAAGAAACTTAAAGATTTTCCAGTCTGAAAATCTATATGATGCCAGAGATTTTCCAAGCTAAAGACTGGACTATCCAAGCAAGTGATTGTCCAGTCTTAGCTTGAATCCCAAGGTACAGACAGAAACTACCTCCCAAGGCAACCCATAACATCCTGGACAGCTCTGACTATCAGAAAGTTTTTCTAACCCTCATCCTATCCTCTGCAGTCTCATCCTGAATCTGACTTCCTATTGCTTTGATCAACATCATATTCTTATGGAATGATTTAAGGTCTTTTCATAATATCAACAACCTAGATCAACTTTCCTGTCCGAACTGCTTTTTTTTTTTTTTTTTGAGACAGAGTCTCACTTTGGTGCCCGGGCTAGAGTGAGTGCCATGGCATCAGCCTAGCTCACAGCAAGCTCAAACTCCTGGACTCAAGCAATCCTTCTGCCTCAGCCTCCCAAGTAACTGGGACTACAGGCATGCACCACCATGCCCGGCTAATTTTTTCTATATATATTAGTTAGCCACTTAATTTCTTTCTATTTATAGTAGAGACGGGGTCTTGCTCTTGCTCAGGCTGGTTTCGAACTCCTGACTTCGAGCAATCCTCCCACCTCAGCCTCCCAGAGTGCTAGGATTACAGGCTTGAGCCACCGAGCCCAGCCAGAACTGCTTTTTTTAACGAGGATAAAAAATTTCCCCCTTCTGAATATTTTCTCAAATGGGAACATAGCTAGCCTTAAACAGAAAGACTTCATTCATTCACCCATTCTGAAGACGTCAACTGAGTGCTGACGTCAACTGAGTGTTTAGCATGGGGGCGGCAACGGCGGGACATGCAGAGGAAATGGAAGGTGGCGTCTATCTGGGGATGATAAGATGTTTGTAAGATCAAGTGATCACAGCAACATAGGAACTGCCGAGAGGGAGCTGGGGCAGACTATGCTGGGAGCCAAATGACAGGATAGGGAGTGTTCTAAGAGTACGGGGCATGTGGTATGGACGGGGGTCTGGGAATCCAGAAGGTGGGGGTGGGGGCTGGGAAAGCTTCATTTAGGAAGTGGGATTTTTGCTGAGTTTGGTGGGGCAACATGAGTCAGTGGCTGAGAGAGAACTCTATCATGGACAGGGAGGGGCTTGGTGAGGATGGAGGAAGTTAGAGGGCCGCTGGTTAGGGGAAGAATCATTTCCCTCTCCTTAGCCCTGCCGGACAGGAACTGTCTCTAGGAGTCTCCAAACACGGTCTTCTTCACAGCCCTGGTGGCCGAGCGAGTCACCTCTCCCGGGGCCAGGGCTGTTGACATGGGGGCTCTTCCTTGCCTGTTCCTTTTCCTGCTGCTCGGGGAGGGTGAGTGAGACCGCCAGCCCCCGGGCAGGACTGCCGTCTTCCTCTTCGGTTCTCCTGCTCCGCCGCGCAGGGCTAGCGAGACCCTTCCTTTGGTACTGGACGTGTCAGCTCTCCTGGAGTAACAAGGACTGGGATGTGGCTTTAGGGCAGGACCAAGAGACGAGGACACCTGGGATAAGGAAGGGAAGCAGCCGTAGGATGACAAAGGAGAAGATAAAATTTGGTGGGTGAAGGGACAGACGGGAGCCAACTCCTCGTAGGTGCTCATCTCGGGTGCAGCGGAATTCCAGAGCCCGAAGAGGCAGCTCGAGGACAGGATTTAGTGCGTGGGCCACACCAGCTGCTCGGGCAAGATTGAGCTACAGCCTCCCTGCCGGGCTTAGCAGCCCAGAGACACCAGCTGGGCTGTTCCATCTCTTTTCTTCCTATATCTGCAGCCAAAGGGGACTCTGGAGATGATGTGGATCCTGAGGAAGTGGTCGCCGTCCTTCATGAATCCATCTACCTCCCCCTGGAAATACCATCCGATGAAGAGGTCGAGGACATCATCTGGTACTCCCACAAGAGGCTTGCAATTGTGGTGCCAGAGAAAGAGGGGCGTCCTGCTAACATCACAGTGACCGACCCACATTACCGGGGTCGAGTGAGCTTCCTGGAGCCCAGCTACTCTCTGTACATCAGCAATCTGAGCTGGGAGGACGCAGGGCTTTACCAAGCTCGAGTCAACTTGGGGACATCCCAGATCTTTGCCACAAGGGACTACGATCTACGTGTCTACCGTGAGTTTGGGCTGGGAACCACAAAGCTGCTTTTCCGTGCTCTCCTGAGCCTCCCACATTATGGAGTAGGGGTCTCAGGACTTGGGCTCGTGGTTTGAGGGGCTGGGACTAGAAGGCAGACTGTCTCCAGGGCACCCAGCCCCAGCTTCTGAGCTGCAGCAGCAGGTGGAGGCACCTGGAGCAAGGAGGCACTGGGCACTGGGCTGTTCCCAGGGCTGGCTTTGTGTAAAGACCCTCTAGGGGACCCTTTTCTCCAAGTGAGACTATGCATTCTGGGATGGACACCAGCTCCATTCTTGAGCTTCCTTTCCTATCCTGCATGATTTGAGGGCTACTAACCAGTATCTTCTCTCTACTTGAACCCCAATTTCTTCTTAGTGCCTCTCACATTGACTGTACCTTGAATCTTGAAGAGACACTGATTAAAATACAAATGCCCCTGGGAGGGTTGATAATATTTTGGGGGATAATATTATTTGGGACAAGGAGGCAGAATAGAGTTTGGAGAAAGGTAGGGTACAAAAGAGAGAGGGAAGAAAGCATAAAGGGTAGGCAGAAAACGGCAAAGGCAGCTCTGCCTACCTTGGCAATTGCCCTGGGGACCCCACAACCACAGGTTTTATGACGGCTGGTTTTGTGTGTTTTTGTGTGTTTGTCATTTAGGTGAAGGGGTTGTCAGAGGGCGACACCAGCACCCCAGGGTTGAGGGGCTTAGGAAAGCAGATCCAATTCCTGATGGTTTAGCATGTTTTTGTGTTTCCTCTCCTCTAGAAAGGCTGTCAGAACTCCAAATCACTGTGAACTTCGAGATCTCTGGGGAACGCACCTGTAATATGTCCCTGACATGCTCCGTGGAGAAGGCAGGCATGGACGTGACCTACAGCTGGCTCTCTTGGGGGGACAACACTGATACAGTCCACGAAGGCCCTGTCCTCAGTGCATCCTGGAGGCCTGGGGACAGCGCCCCCTCCTACACCTGCAGGGCCAGCAACCCTGTCAGCAATGCCAGTTCTCATCCTATCCCTGCTGGCTCCTTCTGTGCAGGTACCAGAACCCTGGAGAAAGCCCCTGATATCACGTGAGATCCGTGCCTCAAGGGTCTCGTGACTTGTGACCCCCTACATGGGAGAATTTTCTTTCTTTCTTTCTTTTTTTTGAGACAGAGTCTCACTTTGTTGCCCAGGCTAGAGTGAGTGTCGTGGCGTCAGCCTAGCTCACAGCAACCTCAAACTCCTGGGCTCAAGCAATCCTTCTGCCTCAGCCTCCCGAGTAGCTGGGACTACAGGCATGTGCCACCATGCCCGGCTCATTTTTTTCTATATATATTAGTTGGCCAATTAATTTCTTTCTATTTATAGTAGAGACGGTCTTGCTCTTGCTCAGGCTGGTTTCGAACTCCTGACCTCAAGCAATCCTCCTGCCTCGGCCTCCCAGAGTGCTAGGATTTCAAGCGTGAGCCACCGCACCTGCCTACATGGGAAAATTTCAAGCACTTAGATGTCATGCCTTCCTCTGCTGAGTCTCCCTTTCCTCCCTTCTTTTGTCCCAGATCCCGGATATCCTTCTGAGAAACCCTCAACAGCCTTCTGCCTCCTGGCCAAGGGGTTGCTCTTCCTATTCCTCTTGGTAATCCTGGCTGTGGGGCTCTGGGTCATCCGAGTCTGGAAAAGAGACAAAATGCCAAGGATGAAGAAACTCAGGAGAAACAGAATGAAACTGAAGAAGAGGAGGACGCCTGGCCCCAGCCCTGTCTGACTGCTCCGTGGGGACCCCAGTCCTGAGCTTTGATTCTTCCAGGCCCCAGTGACTCCATCCTCAGCTCCAGGGTGGGGGGAGCAGGGCTCAGGGGTGGGTATCCAAAGGGCATCCCGAGGAAAGAGTATCTGGAAATAAAGTCAGGTTAAGTGACCACTACACTGGAGGAGATGTGTTTGGTCCTTCTGTCCTCACTGAGTGGCTCTGGCAAACTCACTTCCCTGTCTTTTCCTTCCATTCTGGGTGCCTCTCCCAAGCCCACATGCTTTTTCAAGCCCACCTTTGGGGAGTAAAGTGGGTCTAAAAGACCTTCACCATGAAGTGTTGGTATGCTGTCACTTGCTCTGTCCCGTTCCCCATCAATACACTTGCTATTTACGCTTTAAATGAGAAAAGTGATAGATTCCTTTTAACCCAGCTGAACTTGTGACTCCTAAATGGGAGAATCTCAAGCACTTAATAGTCTGCATAAAAGTGGTCTTATTTCTGTTGCAATTCCTCCACTCTGTCACCATCACTCTCATCCTGGCCCATACATTTACTTCACCAACCCGCCCACCAGGCTGTCTTGGACCCAGCTCTGTTCTACTCTGGGTCTGAGTCGAGCCCAGGGACTTCTCAGTCATCTCCCTGATGACAGTTGCTCTGGGCCTCCAGTGCCTACCCCATAGGGACGACAGCTCAGCCAGATCAATAGCTGATACCTTGAATTCTTCATTTCTGCTTGTGGTTGGCATTACTGTCCTGTCTGTCCCTTCCCTATAGATTTCCATGTCTCAGGCCTTCTGTCTGGCATCTTGTCTTGGGTTAATGCTCACACCCCCTTGCAAAGGCCCTCAAGTTGATGTTCTTGCTCTTTCCTAGCCCAGCGATCAGCTTGACTTCCCCCCCTAGGCCAGATGTGCCACTGCCCAAGTCTCCATAATTCTCCCTAAATCAAATCTTGTAGATGTTACTTACGCAGATGCCATGGTGGGGAAGGGGGACTGGAGAGGGAATTAGAAGCCACCCAAGTGACAGGACAGTGTAGGCGGGAATGAATTGGAGGAAATGATATAGGCTTATGGTGGGAAGAGGCCTGGGTCACATCACCAGAGACCACTTGCCTCTGGCCTGGGACTGTGTGTTCAGCAAACTTCCACTGAGCCACAGTCCCTTTTCCCAAGGAGCGTACACGGGGAAGGAGAGGCAGGCAGATGGGCAGCTGCTTGGAGCTCTTATGGAAACACAGCTAAGCAAGCTCCCAGAGGCAGGATGGGCTCAGGACCATGGGGGGTTTCAGAAGAGGGTCCAGTGGGTCAGCAGGGGGCCACATAGCAGGAGGCATGCCTGACATTACTCTGTATCTCCCCTTCCCCTCTGTCTTTGTGGGGAAGGATGGTGATCTCCAAAGTGTCCTTCAAAAAAAAAAAGGAACATGAGACTGTGAAGGGGGCAGTAGAATGCATTGGTGTACCAGGAAGACCAAGGGCACCTTGCTTTTAGCAAAGTAGGGCATGTGAGCTGGCACAGGCCACCCAGGAAGAAGGCCCTGAGAGCAGCATGGGGCAGGGCCAGAAGCCAGGAGTCAGGGTCTCCCTAGGTTTTTTTTTTTGCAGGAGATGGGGCCCCTTGGAGCTTGGAAAAATGGTAGTAAGGTTGGGAAACCAGTCCTCAGGAGCTCCTGGGACTGGCAAACTGATCCCTTCTACTCTCTGTGGGCCTGGGCCCTTGTCCCTCTGGAAGGCAGTCCCTGGCCTGAGGTTGGTTCTCTGTGCTTCTCTTAGTCCTGGAGCAGTCCTGCCTCCAAAAATCCTGCAGCCCCAAATTCCTCCACCTCCTTTCATACCTTTCCTAGAAGGCACCATTGCAGGGCGGGGGACTGGAAAAGACCGCCTGGAGTCTGTCTTGCATATCCAGAGGCAGCTCATTTCTCATGTATTTCAGAGATTGGTACACAGAAAGTGAATAAAGGAATGAATGTATGGCTGGCCCAGGAATCTGCCTGAGAGTTGGTAAAGTCCCTTCTTCTCACACCCAATTTTTGAACAGAAAAGGGCTGAGGCCTCAGAACAGCTCAGATTACCTGGAAGAGGAAGGGTAAGACCCTAAAGAAAGTTGAGTATAAGCTCAGAGAGGCCCAGGCCTCTTCCTGCACAAGAAGCCAGGAAAATAATCACTTGATAGCACTTTATAGTTTGCAAAGTTTCCTTCCACTTAAAATAGGTGAGAATGAATTTGGGGAAGAGGGGAATATTTAAGCACATACTAAGTGTGAGGAATTCGGCCAGCACTAAAGAGGCAGAAAAGACATCTCTGCCCTCAAGGAACTCTTTGTGGAGTGCGTAAAGATACAATTACAGGCCTGGCACAGTGGCTCAAGCCTGTAATCCTAGCATTCTGGGAGGCCGAGGCGGGGCGGATTGCTCAAGGTCAGGAGTTCGAAACCAGCCTGAGCAAGAGCGAGACCCTGTCTCTACTATAAATAGAAAGAAATTAATTAGCCAACTAATATATATAGAAAAAATTAGCCAGGCATGGTGGCGCATGCCTGTAGTCCCATATACTTGGGAGGCTGAGGCAGGAGGATTGCTTGAACCCAGGAGTTTGAGGTTGCTGTGAGCTAGGCTGACGCCAGGGCACTCACTCTAGCCTGCGCAACAAAGTGAGACTCTGTATCAAAAAAAAAAAAAAGATACAACTCCAGAGTGTGACAACAAGGACTAGGGTGAAAATGAGGGCATGGTGGGAGAAATCAGGGAAGGAGTCCTGTAGGGAATGGGTCAACAGAAATTAGATCTGTGATCAGCAATGAATCTAGGGAAGGTGAAAGGGGCATTCTGGCCAGACAGAAGCTAAGTGCTAAGGCAGTGATATGTGCAAGGGCCCAGTAAATTCTAGAAACAGCAAAGCCCTACCCACTCTGACAAAGAGGTAGGTGAGGAACTAGGCTGGAGAGACAGGCAGGGGCTCTTCCAATGAGGAAATTCAATGAACAAGACAAGTTCCACCCCCTGGTGGTGCTTAGTGTCTCAAAAGGCACACAAAAAGTTAAATGGTAATATGTGAGAAACCATAGTTTTCTGATCTGGTGATGGGACCAATGCTCACAGGCATGTGGTCAACAGAGTCCCTGGAATGGACATTTTCTTTCTTTCTTTTTTAAACTCAGATATAAGTTATTTAAGCTAACATAATCCTGATTAAGAGCACTCATACATTATACTATGGAAAAATCCATATTATTGATTATTAAAACCACCCTCACTTTCCATTCTAGAATATGGGATAGTTGTGTGGGGTTTGATTGGTACAAGCAGTTTTAACACATCAAATATGGTCACTACTAACATTTTATGTGTTTAAACTTCCAGGGCTCATTTGATGTCAAGAAATTATCTGCTTATTTATGGACAATGAGTAATTTTGCTGATTGGGAAGACCTGTGCCTAACCATGCCAAGGATACCTCTTCTCTGAGATGACACCATACCCATGTGCAATGTTATGGGGCAGCTCTGATCCTTCCTTCACAAGGCCTGCCGAAATATCAGGGGTGTTAGTCAGGGGGCTCCGGAGGGAGAGAACCAATAGGATAGATATGGATGTAGAGAGATACAGATGTGGACATAAGGGGATTCATTAGGATTCATTAGGGGAGTTGGCTTCATGATTATGGATGCTAAGTCCTAACTCAGGTTTTCTGCAAGTCAGAGACCCTGGGATGCCAGGAGCATTGCTCAGTCCAAGTCCAAAGGCCTCCCAACCAGAAAGGTGATGGTATAATTCTCAGTCCCAAGGCCAGAGAGTCTCAAGTTTCGATGTTCAAGAGCAAGTGGAAGAGAGTGTCCCAGCTCCAGGAAAGAGAGAGAGAGAACATTTTCTTTCTTTCTTTTTTTTTTTTTTTGAGACAAGAGTCTCGCTCTGTTGCCTGGGCTAGAGTGCCATGGCATCAGCCTAGCTCACAGCAACCTCAAACTCCTGGGCTCAAGCAATCCTCCTGCCTCAGCCTCCTGGGTAGCTGGGACTACAGGCATGCGCCACCATGCCAGACTAATTTTTTCTATATATTTTTAGTTGGCCAATTAATTTCTTTCTATTTTTAGTAGAGACAGGGTCTCACTCTTGCTCAGGCTAGTTTCGAATTCCTGACTTTGAGTGATCTGTCTGCCTTGGTCTCCCAGAGTGCTAGGATTACAGGCATGAGCCACCTCACCTGGCTGAACATTTTCTTATATCCATGTCAGTAAGACGAAAATATGTGGACTGGCTGATACTTAGGTTGGGTTGAATCCCAGCTGGTTGAAGAAGCTTTCCCAGAGGGTAACGACTAGGAATCAAGGATAACCTAGAGGAAAGTTTTTAGTTTTAAACCTCAGGGACTATTTTTGTCAACTTTCACTTCTGGCACAGTGAGGGAACAAGTTATAGGGTTAGGTTCCTTTCCTTACCCCAAAACCTATGCTATACTTCTGAATCAGATAAAAATAACAATAATAATAAAATTCACACAACAAGCTTACAGAAAACAATGACCATATCATAAGCTTTTGAAAATGGAAAACCATTTCAAATCTCACCTTACAAAGTTATTTTAGGCCGGGACCGGTGGCTCACGCCTGTAATCCTAGCACTTTGGGAGGCCGAGGCCCAGGCAGGCGGATTGCTCAAGGTCAGGAATTCAAAACCAGTCTGAGCAAGATCGAGAACCCGTCTCTACTATAAATAGAAAGAAATTAATTGGCCAACTAATATATATATAGAAAAAATTAGCCAGGCATGGTGGTGCATGCCTGTAGTCCCAGCTACTTGGGAGGCTGAGGCAGAAGGATTGCTTGAGCCCAGGAGTTTGAGGTTGCTGTGAGCTAGGCTGACGCCATGGCACTCACTCTAGCTTGGGCAACAAAGTGAGACTCTGTCTCAAAAAAAAAAAGGAAAAAAAAAGAAAAAAAGTTATTTTAATGTGCAAATGAGATTAGCTTATTCTCAAGAAACCTCTGGAGACAACAGAAATGAACCACGTGGACCAGAGGTGTGGCTGATCCAACGTGAGCAATCTTATCTTTCCTGCTGGCTGGCGAGGAGCCAAGAAGGCTTTGCTCTTTGATCATCTTTTCTAGCCTTGCTTCCAAGCTCTGTCCACTCACATGTTTTCACTGCAATTTTACCAACTGTTAGGTCAGTCTATTACATTGTAAAGGGATGTTGAAAGCTGCTACAATGGAAGTATTTGCTGGAGGGATGTCGGGAGAGACCAGCCCACTGCTCCTGCCTCTTCACTTTCTTCTCTGTCTGTGGCAAAAACACTCAGATGTTTACACCGGGAAGAACTTTCCGTCTGTCAGAGCTTACTAAAGATGAGTGGTACCACAGGAGCACTGATGCAGGTGTGATCAGATAGGGACTGGATGACCCTCCCCTGGAGGGATGATGAGCCAGGGATTCTGGTGCCAAGGAGAGCTCAGATCCATCCGGGAGCTCTCGCCTGAAGCTGCAGTGGAGATTCCGTAAACTCCGTATCTGGTACACTTAGTTGGATCTTAGTAGCTCAGACTGGGGTGGGAGCAGACTGAATGGGAAGGACCTGGACAGGTAATGATCACTTAAGAAGACCCTGCATCCCTGCGGCATCGCCAAGCTAGGAAGTCCAAGTCTCTGAGGCGAAGATATACAAGATATCTTTTTGCTTGTAGGTGAAGTCTCCAAGGGAGTGGGTTTGATGAAGTCAGGGTTGGGTCTGAATCCAGCTCTGCCATGTCCTAGACGGGAAAGCTTGGGCAAGTTACCGCATCTTGATGAGCCTCGGTTTTCTCCTTAATCAAATGGAGGTATATATATTTACTTTGCAGGGTTTCTGCGCAGGTGACATAGGAGTGATGAAGCATCTCGTTCAGGGCCTGGCACCCTGCAAGGGTTCAGGAAATGATCCTTCATGCCATGCCTCCCTGTCAATCTCCCGAGTGTCAGGATGTCTGTCGTTCCTCCGCTCTGGGCCGGTTTCTGCAAGTCGTAGGCGCTGGGAGCTGCCTCCGGAGCTGACTTGGCAAACCCGAGCTCAGAGCCCGGCCTTCCCCAGCTGCGCGCTGTGGGAGGCGCCTGGGCGAGATTTGGGAGCTCGCCAATGCAGACAGGTATTTCCAGTCCGGCGAGAGAAGAAATGGGTGGAGGTGGGATGGGGAGAGGGGAGGAGATCGGATGAGCCCGGGACGAGGGAGGATCCCCAGGGAGGAAGGCGGGGAGTCGGGCTCCACGTCTGGTGCTCCTGCCCCCCAGGCTCAGATTTCAACTCCAGTTGCCGCCTCCGCGGCTCGCCCGTTAGGAGAGTGGAGAGGGTCGCAGGTAGGTTACAAAGGAAGGAGGGCGTGCGCGGAGGCCGCTGCAGGGCCAGCTCCGGCGGCCCTGGAACACCCGCCTGACTCCGGGGCCCCTCTTGCCCGGCGGCGGGAAGCTGCCTTTCCGCCCCTGGTCGTGCAGAGCTCCGCGAGGGGGCGACCTGAGCCCACGTGCCGCCGGGCCCTTCTGTCCCGAAACTACAACTCCCAGGCCGCTCAGGGGTCCCGCCCGCCTCGCCTCGCCTCGGGTCGGCTCCCATTGGCCGGCCCGGGAGGGGATTGGCGGTCTCCAGGGCGACGGGAGGCGCTCGGGGCATCCGAGGCGGGGAGGCGGGCCCGCCCCCTATTGTGTGGCCGCGAGAGTGGAGCCGAGCGGAGCGGAGCAGGTGAGGGGGGGCGTCCTGGGGGGATGGAAGTGGGGTGCTGGCGGGGGCCGGAGAGCAGTGCGGAGTTGTGGGGGACAGGAGCACGCGGGGGAGTTCCGGAGAGAAGTGGAATTCTTTGGGGGACCAGAACTGGGGGAGTTCTGGGGAGCGAAGTGGAATTCTTGGTTGGTTGGTGGGTCGGTGGGGGTTCCGGAGAACTGCAGGAGTTCTGAAGGTAATGTGGGGGAGTTCTTGGTGGGTTCCAATAGATAGGAGGAGTTCCAGGGGACCGGAGAATGCGAGGGAAGAGAGAATTGTCGGGGGTAGGGTATGAGGCTTGTATTGTGGGCTGAGGCAGGAGAATTCCAGGGAGGGGAATTCCCGGGGTAGGTGGGGGGAGAGGATGGGAACAAGGGGGGATGGAGGTTCTGCAGGAGACAGGAAGGGAATTCTTGGTAGCATAGACGACCTGCTGCAGGGGGACATCAGGTGTGAGGAACTGGAATTTTGGAGGGTCCTGTGTAGTAGGGGTAACTGGGAAGGGAAGGCAGGGAGAATGAGGGAGTGCTGGGTGCCAGGTCTAGAAAGGTGAGGAAGTGGGGAGAGCCAGGGGAGTTGGGAAGATCCTGGGAGGTGGGGAGGAATTCTGGGATGCCTGGGTTACTAAGGATCTCAGAAAACTGAGCCAGGAGAGAGCTAGGGGTTCCTGTATACTTGGAAAATGGTTTTTCGGGGAAGTATGGGTGAGCTGGCTGGGGCAGTGGGAAGCATGGGAACGTTGCCGGTGAATTGCCAGCAGTTAGACATGGAGGGGCATTAAACAGAGGCAGGGGTCAGACTGCCATGTGGAGGACGTTTTATAGCCAGTCCTGAACTGTGAGGCCAGGAGTGGGGTGGAGGCCTCGAGCAGAGTCCACTTGGGTTCACCAGGCCCAGGCAGGGCCCTCTGGCTCACAGTGACTGCCCCAGGACCTGTGGGGCTGGGACTATCAAGAATTCCCAACCTCCTTGTTTCAGGGCTCATTCTGTACACCTTAGGGATTCACAGGCTCTTTTTTGGCTTCTTGCAGACCATGCCCCTAGGGTTGGGGAAAAGAGGGCCTGGCAAAGCTTGGCACCCTGAGGATGGTAGAAGGGAGTGAGTGGGAGGGATTGGAGTGAGGTTCTTGGGTGGTGGTGCCTGGCAGATGGAGCGCTGCCTGGCAGCATCCTGAAGAGGAAGTGGTACCAGCCGCCAGCCCCAGGACCTGCCCAGACCTGGAGGATGCTGCCTGGGCCCCCCGTGCCAGCAGGTGTGGGAGGCAGCTCCTCCTCTCCCAAGTGTCTGACTCATTCACTGCCAAAGCAGTGTTGGGAGGCTGCTGGAGAAAGGCCACAGAGCGCCCAGCTTCCAGGGCTCTTCACAGAGGCTGGGGAAATGGGCAAGGGACTGTGCGTGTGTGTTGGGGGTGCCCTGGGACCACTTTCTGGTGGTTAAGGGGACTGGATTTGAATCCAGGATTTGCCTTTGACTGGCTCTCTGCCTCTGAGCAGAGATCCTTGGGGTCCTTATTTGTCATAGTGCGGTGGAAGCACTAATACTGATTCCATCTCGCTCTCTGCCACCTTGTTGCAAAGAAAGAAGTGAGAGGAGGTTGGCCATGAGCGTTGTGATTGTCCATACTTCCCTGAAAAGTCTTTTTCCAAGTGTATAAGGAACTCCCAGTTCTCTCCTGGCTTAGTTTTCCAAGACCCTTAGTAACCCAAGCATCCCCAGAATTCCTCTGTTTCCTGAGATCTTCCCAACTCTGCTGGCCCCCACCATTTCTGCACCTTTCTAGCCTCCTCACCCGGCATTCCTCATTCCTGCAGTACTTCCACCCCAGCTCTTACTCCCCAGGGCTTCAAGATCTCTGGCCTCTTTGTCCCCCCCCCCCCCATCTGCTCTCCTTCCTTTCTCTTCCTCGAGCCTTTCTCTAACTGGGGGCTTTCTTCTGGGCTCCAGCACTGGCCAACTCTGCATGCTGCCTTGCACTTTGCATTTAGATCCGGTGGTTCCCCAGAGAACAGCTTCCTCGGCTGTTACATGAGCCAAGCCCTGACTGTCCAGAAGAGTGAGAGCTGACACCTGAGGCCGATCAGCAGGATTGACCCCGGGCTTGCTGGGCTGTGGCCATCCCTCGGCCCCTCCATCTGGGCTCCCGTGGCTAGGAGGGGCCGGGTGAGCAGGCCAGCTGGGCTATGGTGTGGTGCCTTGGTCTGGCCGTCCTCAGCCTGGTCATCAGCCAGGGGGCTGACGGTGAGTTGGACTCCCGGGGCTCAGCCTTAGGGCGGGGGTGCTCCCCAAGGAGTTCTCTGTGAGCATGGGAGGGGTGGGAAGGGATAGGGCTTGTCCTGGAGACGATGGGGATTCCTCCCATCACCCAAAGTCCTAAGGAGCCTACAGAGATACTGAAGGAACCTCCCCTCCCAGCCCTGACTCTGGCCCCTGTTGTGTCCTCATGCCACCCACCATACAGGTCGAGGGAAGCCTGAGGTGGCGTCGGTGGTGGGCCGGGCTGGGGAGAGTGTGGTGCTGGGCTGTGACTTGCTGTCCCCGGCCGGCCGGCCCCCTCTTCATGTCATCGAGTGGCTTCGCTTTGGATTCCTGCTTCCCATCTTCATCCAGTTCGGCCTCTACTCTCCCCGAATTGACCCCGATTACGTGGGTAAGAGTTATCCTCAGTGGGAGGTAGGGGGTGTCCACAACCAAGGTGGCTGGGTAGGGCAGAGGGCAGGCATGACCTCTTATTGACTGCTCTGTCCCTGTCCCAGTCTCATCGCCAGCTCCACTGCCTTAACTCTGCTTACAGGCATGGCCCTGCTCTCAAGCAATGTTCATTCATTGAAGGATTCATTCATTTACAAACACACACACACACACACACACACACACACACTATAGCTGTGCTATTTAGAACTCCACGTGGTCTGTTCCAAAGGAGATCCTGCAGCCCTATTCCAAGTATCCATCCTAATTCTGTAATTGCGTTTCCAGATCTCATCATGAATCCCTCTAGACTCATCCTGATCTTCTGTAATCCCCACACTTGGTCCTATCCTGGTCCTGGCTCTACTATCTGCCCGCTCCCCTGCCCTCCCCTCCCTCACGGTCTTAAGTGCTAGTTTGGGGGTTCTAGGCTCCTAGGGAGTGGCCCTATGGAGGAGCAGGGTGGGGGGGCCATGACCTCCCCCTGCTTCCCCAGTGGGGGCTCAGCCTGCTCCTGAGTACAGAAAAGCTTGTGCACAGAGAGGGTGGGCTGGGGAGGGCCTGGGCGTCCCAAGGTCAGTGAATAAATGGGGTCGGTCTGGGTTGCTGCTTCAGGTGGCTCCTGTACAGTCTTAAAATAATGTATAGGCCTCCCTTGGGTGGGGGGCTCTGCTGCACCCCAGCTGGCTCCCTAGAGTGACTCAGCTTCCTCCTAATCCCACTGGAGCCTTAATCCGAGTGGCTTTGCCCCAGGTCTCAGAGGACAGTGTGGGGGTGGGGGCCTAAGGATGGGTCTGGGTGGCCGTGCAAGAGACAGTCCTGTTGCCCCCTCTTCAGAGGAGAAACCCAGGAAGGGCCACCTGGGAGTATATCGAAGGGGGGGACCCTTACCTTTTCCCTCTTTAGTTCGAATCCTGAGGAAAACTCTGGGATTGGCTGAGCTCTTGCCATGGGGTGGGCTGAGCAGAGAAGGGAGGAGGTGCAGGCAGGTGCTGCAGAAGGGGGGAGTTTATTTTCAAACTGGGGGCAGTTATTGGCAAACAGCCTGGTGGGAGTGTATGTGTCTACACAAGCCCATGGGAATGGATGAAAGCGGGCCCCAATTAGCACAAGTAGAGGAAAAAACGGCTGTGCCCGCCAGCCCTCCCTCCCTGCCTCTGCCTGCCCAGCCTGGGAGGGGTTTGGGGCCGCCGGCTGAGGCTGGGCGGATTCAGAATGTTGCCCGACAGAGAGCAAGTCACAGGGGAGAGGGAGGAGGGGTGGGAGAAGGGCTTTTCCTGGGACTCGGCTAGGGAGGTGTGAAGCTCTTCCTTCTCTCCAGCTTCTGGCCTGTCTTGAGGTCCCTCAGGCAGACAAGCCACTGGATGGTTAGCAGTTTCGTCTACCTGAGGGTTTTCCTTCCGTCTCTGTGTTGTTCCTTGACCTGCGAGGGCCGTGAGCAGTAACCTCTGGTGCTTTCTTCCTACCCCTACCTGTTGCTCCCACCCCTGCCCTGGCCTGGAGCTGCTGGTCAGGCCAGAGCTAGTTAAGGGAGTCGGGGACCCTGGAGGGAGGCCCCCCAAGCCCATTAACCCTTTTACTGACTCTCGGTGTGGAAGGGGCCTCTCAGCCTTTGTGTAGGGGACTCGGAACTGCAGTTGCTAAGCAACAGGAGGTAGAGGTTGCTAGGGACAATGCTGTTCTGTCATAAACCCTCTGGGCAGTGAAGGGGAGATGGGACTGTCATGAGGCTGGTGGCCTAAAATGCAAGGAACCCCAAGAGAGACTGTTGGAGCATTAGGGGCCACACAAAAGGGGAAGATTCCAATCTCTGAGGACTCCAGAAGCCATCTAGCAGAAGAGACTGGATTTATCAACTAGTGCGAAAGTAGTAAAAAGCAGTATAAAACAGGCTAGGACTACGCGGTAGGACCAAGTTAGTGTCTGTGTATAAGCACCAGCCCCATGCCCACACAGAGTGCCTGTGGGGTGTGAACCCGTGACCAGGCTTCCAGAGGGGAGGCAGGCTAGGTTCATCTGTCCTGTGGGATCTTAGACCAACTAACTGTTCCAATGCATGGGGGAGGCTTTTTGGTCTTTGATTTTTGTGGTATGTTTTGGGGGAGTTTCAAGATGCCCCACACAGCGGAAGGGACCTGTGTTTTCTCTCTGTCCTGAGTTGTTTAATAAAAATTAGTTCTCTTGTTCTCCACTTAGAACTCTCCTGCTTGTTCTGGTCATCTCCCTTTACCACCTTTTATCCTTCAAAACCCTCTGCCTACTCACATCTTCTGGGAAGCCTTTCTTCCTCCTCTTGCTTCATAGCTCACTGTCTGGGCACAGTTAACACCATTTGGTGAGCTTCTGTGTGTATGTGTGGACGTGCACTTGCCTGTGTCCCTGAATGTGGGTTCCCTGCCTTCTGAGAGCTTGAGGGAGCAGAGACTGTCTCCTGACTCCTTCACGCACCCCTGGGTGGGGGAAGATCTGAAGTCCATCAGGCTTTGGCCCTGCAGGTGGAGGGAAGGCCTCAGAGAGATGGGCCCGGCACTCAGGAGCACTCAGGACTGCAGCCCTGGCAATCTTCCTGTTCATCTGTAACACTGCAGGTCTGGCAGATCTCACAGAAAAGTTATGACATGCAGTATGCTTCATTGGATATTCTGATTAACAAACATTTGCAACTGTTACCCGTTGGCCACCAACATGTCCCAAGTGAGAATACACCGTTTATGCTCAGTGACCTGAATGCCACTTGATCCCAACCCCAGTGTTCAGTTGAAAGTACACTTCATCGACCGGGCGTGGTGGCTCACGCCTGTAATCCTAGCACTCTGGGAGGCCGAGGTGGGTGGATTGCTCGAGGTCAGGAGTTCAAAACCAGCCTGAGCAAGAGCAAGACCCCGTCTCTGCTATAAAATAGAAAGAAATTAATTGGCCAACTAATATATATGGAAAAAAATTAGCCGGGCATGGTGGTGCATGCCTGTAGTCCCAGCTACTCGGGAGGCTGAGGCAGGAGAATCGCTTGAGCCCAAGAGTTTGAGGTTGCTGTGAGCTAGGCTGACGCCACGGCACTCATTGTAGCCTGGGCAACAAAGCGAGACTCTGTCTCAAAAAAAAAAGAAAAAGAAAAAGAAAGTAGACTGCATCTAGAGAGAGAAGGCCTGGCTTTTTCACTTAGGCACCACGTGATTTTTGGAATAGAAACTTAACAAACATCAGTTCTTTCACCTATAATGAAATTCTTGGGAGGACTAAATATGGTGACGATGCCTGATGTTTTACATGGCTCATATTCAACACTCAGTCTCCCTTCCCTCTTCTTCCTCCTTTGTAGAGCTAGAAGATCACCACAGTGAAATGTTGCCATCATGTGGGACGTAGAAGAGGCTGTAGTCAGGGGCCTGCAGGGCTCGGTGGCCAGGCAGATTAGGGTTCTTGAGGAATCCTGCTGGTAGGTGGAAAAAGATGATTATGTTAAATATTTACCCAATAGGCCTACTCTTATCTCCTGGGTGGAGATTGAATACACCTAGCCCTTTAAGCAGGTCCACCCATTCTAGAGGATCCACACCCCTAGAACTCATTCTTAGTAGAAAGAAGACCCTTGCCTAAGATCACAAAGCCAGCCTCAACTTGTTCCTTCTTCTCTTTGTCCCTGACGGCATTAGGGGCACAGTAGGCTTAGATTCTGTTTCAGAAAGATCACTGTAGAGGTAGAATGGAAGCATATTGCAGGGGCTTCAGAATTTCTAGTATTAGGAAGGGCTGGGGTGGGCACAGTGCTGGTTGGTTGCATTGGGCATAAAGCTAAGGGACTTGTCTTGGAGCTGCCTTTGCATATCCCATAAGATTTAGGAAATGCCATGTGTCCATGTCAGAGGTCAAGGTGGGGGTGAGCATGTGGTGACTGGAGGCAGGAGCACTGCAGATAGGCTACTGGAGAAACCCAGAGAGACATACTACAGGTCTAAAGGTGAGGGTGACAGAGAAGGAAAAACATATTTAACAGGTAACATCTGAAAGGTTCAATGAACACATGGACGGACATGTGGGGTAACAGGAGTCTAAGTGATAGCAGGTTTCTGGTAGGGTGACTTGGTACATGGTGATGCTGTCCACTGAGATAGGGAGAGAAAAGGGAAAGGATGTGTGATCAGGTTAGGGCCAGGGCCAGGGCTCAAGTGCAGGTTTCTGATTCCAAATCTGAACCTCATTTATTTGTTCAGCAACATTTATTTGAGCACCTGTCTATGCCAGGCACCATGCTGCAGGCCTCCACTACCTTATCTCTCTCTTCTTCCCCACCCCAATTTTTTTTTCTTTCTTTCATTTTTATAGATTAGGAAACTGAGAGAGAGAGGTTAAGTCACTTGCCCAAAGGAGTGCACAGCAGAGCTGGACTTGTGCCTAGGTCTAGCTGGTTGCCCAGTGTGTCTCACTGGGCTACACTGCCAGAGACCCACCGAACTGCCTGGGGTGTGGGGCTCCATCCCGGGAGGGTGCTGAGGGATTGGGAAGGCACCCTGGGTCTGAGCCTGGTGGTGTAGTGTGGGTGCTGACTAGGGGCAGGGTGGAGATGTATGCTGTGCTGTGGTTGTGTGGCTTTGTGGAGCTAGACGTGGTCAGTCAGCTGGGGCCTGAGTGCCCCGGGGCATGCAGGGGATGGGATGAGGCTGCTGACTTAGCTGCCTGGCAGGGCTGGACTCTGGCCACCCTAAGGCGCTTAGGCTGCTGATAATAGCCCTGGGGGATTAGGGGCTTTGGCAGGCAAGGTCTGGGTCCCTGCTAGGGCCTCAAACACTGCTGAGGTTTTCAGGGACAGAGTTCTCTGGCAGGAGGAGAGTACTTCCGGGAACCCATGCCTTGTCCCTACAAAAAGAGCCCGGGGTGGGGGTGGGGGCACAGATCCTGTAAGAATCCAGAGGAGACTAAGTGCCTGCTCTTCAACTTCCTTCCCCCAACAGTGCTGGGGGCCGGCTGCAGTCCAGTGGAAGCCTTCATCTACCTGCTGTCCCTCTGGGTTTCTCTTTGTGTAGACTGGGTCCCAGCTATTGAAGGGCAGGGGCAGTCAGAGGGGCTGAATGGAGGGACCTCCCCTGGGTGGCCCCCAACCCCATCTGTGCCTCTCTGGACCCCAATTTCTAGGGGTAACTGGGAGAGACTGTCTGCTGTTGACTGCTGAGAATGACCATTATGATCAGGGATTTGGGGCTCCTCTGGGGCCCCTTCAGTACCCCTGATTCAGGGCTCCTCCCCCAGGACGAGTCCGGCTGCAGAAGGGGGCGTCTCTCCAGATCGAGGGGCTCCGGGTGGAAGACCAGGGCTGGTACGAGTGCCGCGTGCTCTTCCTGGACCAGCACAGCCCTGAAGACGATTCCGCTAATGGCTCCTGGGTGCACCTGACAGTCAATTGTATGAAGCTGGGGAGCAGGTGGTGGAGAAGGGCAGAGAGGAGGACGGTGGGGACCTCTGGCTGGTGGGAGAAAGGGGAAGAGGGAGTTCTCTTTCCATCCCACAAGCAGTTGCAGTGCCCCACCCTTCCTGGCAGGCCTTGTTTGCACACTTAGTGGTTGCATCTCATCTCTCCCCTGGCTCCTGCCCTTTCAGTTCTTCAAATCTAAATCCAATCAGCCTCCTAGGCTCCATGTCAGGAACTTCCTCTCTCTGCCCTGCTGTCTCCCTGGCCAGAGTAATGGGTCATGGAGAGGGGGCTCTTGGGCCCTGAGAGAAACACAGCTCACATACATACGGCATGTTGTGTTTTCAAAACTGCTTTTTACCTGGCACCTCATTAATTCCCTCTCAACCCCTGAGGAGGAGGGAAGTCATAATGATTCTCATTTCATTGGTGAGACTGGGGCACAGAGATGCTGGGCCATGCCACTGGTTAGGGGCACAGTGGAGTGTAGGACCCAAGCCTCCTGACTCCCAGAACAGTGCTCTCTCCCTGGGGACACCCAGCCCAGGCTCAGCCCTTGGTTAGCATGTAGGGATGGGCTGGTGCAAGCCTCACTTGGCTCTTAGTGCAGCAGACAGGGTGGCCCTGGGCTGAGGATTCCCATGAAGCTGGGCGGGCTGGTGGGCAGAGGGTACAGCCCTGAGTGGCCTGTCTCCCTGGCCCTCAGATACTGCTCTTTGGGTTGATAGTGCGTCTGGCAGCCCCTGGTGCCTCTCTCCCCTGCAGCGCCCCCCCAGTTCCAGGAGACGCCTCCCCCTGTGCTGGAAGTGCAGGAGCTTGAGGCTTTGACCCTGCGCTGTGTAGCCCGGGGCAGCCCCCAGCCTCACGTGACTTGGAAACTTCGAGGACAGGACCTTGGCCAGGGCCAGGGCCAGGGTCATGTGAAAGTGAGTCCTGGGGCTGGGTAGAGAGGGCCAGATAGAGTGTGAGGGGAAGGTGGGGGCCTGGGTACAGGGCTGGAGGACAGAAAGGGCAAAGGCCAGGTTGGCAGATGGGCCAGAGGAGGTGATTTGCATTGGCTTCCCTGAGCCTGGGGAACTGACTCCCTCTGCTGGTCAGCCTCAGAAGTGCAGGGTCTCGTCCGCCCGGGAGTCGAGGGTAGGGGGAAGGAGGGACCTTCCTCACCCACTCCTTCCTTTCCTAGGTGCAGAACGGAACACTGTGGATCCGGAGGGTGGAGCGAAGCAGCTCTGGGGTCTACATCTGCCAAGCCTCCAGCACCGAGGGCAGCGCCACCCACGCCACCCAGCTGCTGGTGCTAGGTGCTGTCTGTCGGGAGGGCTGGGGTCCGGGGACACTTATGTAAGAGGACTGACCTGTGGCTGGGGTGGGGCGCACAGCAGGGTGGGGAGGAGACTTGTGCCTGAATGCAGGGCCCCGTGTGTGTGTGTGTGTGTGTGTGGGGGGGGGGGGGGGGGGGCACTCTCAACAAAGGCTACTGCTTTAGAACCAGCATCTTAATTTGAAAAGGCTCAGGACATGCACAAATCGCTATGTAGTGCTCAGCTGTGTGCTACAGTGGAAAGAGTATGAGTGCTTGTGTTGGGCGTGAGCCATGTAACCCCTGACTCCAGTTCCCTCATCTTTTTATAAAGAGATTCGTATCTACCTCTCAGGACTGTTACAAGAATGTTGTTAGGTTCAGTTGAGCACAGTGAGTGGCACGTGGTAATTCCCGGCCAAGACGCTGCCTTCCAAAGGAAAGCTGGGAAGCGTGGGGGCTGGATTCTGCCTTCATAGAGCCTATTACCTATGTGGGGAGACGAGGCTAATTGGAGAAACAGCGAAGTGTTGTTCTGCGTGGTACTGAAAGGCGGTGTGCCGGGCAGTGGCCTAGGGCGTGGTCTCTGGCATCAGGAAGGCCTAAACGTGAATCTTGCTTCCCTGGCTGTCCCTGGGCAAGTCACCCCACAGTCTCTCTGCCTCTGAGCCTTCAGTTCATCATGTATAAAATGGACATGATAATTCCCACCACAGAGGTTCTTGTGAGGCTTCAGTAGCTACAGCAATGCAGGTAAAGTGCTTAGCACCTTGAGCCCGGCACGCTGTAGGTGCTCTATACAGGTCAGCTTGTGTCCTTCCCTCTCTTATTACTGACTACTCGTGCAGGAGGGGCCTGGGAGGGGAGAGCAGTAGAGCTGCAGTGGTCAGACGGTTTTGCAGGAGGCGTGTGGCCGGGCCAGGCCATCAGGAAGGGCATTCCAGACCAGGGCACAGAGAGCAGAGGCATGGAGATGGGGTGAGCCCGGCATGGGGGACAGCCAGCTGCCCATACTAGCTTGAGAAACTTCCTGAGGGTTGACATGGAAGGGTGGTTGGCCAGGTAGGGAGGGGTTGAATCATGGGGGCCCACAGGACTGTGTCAAGGAGTTTAAGGCGCTGCTGCAGGTTCTAGGGTAGAAGTGTTCTGTGGCCAAAGGGGCCATTTCTGCATGAGTGGCCACTAGAGTGGCAGTGATAGGGGAGCCTGGGGTCAGGAGGTGCTGCAGCATCTTGGGGTGAAACTGCCCTTGGGAGATACAGAGGTGATCTAAGATGTGCCAGGCAGGGATACGAAGGGTAAATGAGCACAGTTAAAACGGACTCTCCTCCACACGATTTGTAGGCAGGGGAACTGGGTGAATGAGATTGCCCCTGGTGGAGCAGGGAGAATTTGGGCAGGGGAGTGGGTCTTGGGGAGAGGATGAACTTTTGTCACATACAAGGGGAAGGTTCTGTTTCAGTTCCCCAGGACCCTGTAACAGCCAGCCCTGTATTCCAGAGGGCAGAGCCAGGAAGAATTGTAGAAGTGACCTCGGGGTTCTGGGAAGACTATGGGCTGAGGCCACCTCCCTCCCCTGGTGCTTCCCGCAGGACCCCCAGTCATCGTGGTACCCCCCACAAACAGCACGGTCAATGCCTCTCAGGATGTCTGCTTGGCCTGCCAGGCTGAGGCATACCCTGCTAACCTCACCTACAGCTGGTTCCTGGACGGCGTCAATGTCTTCCACATTAGGTGGGCTCACCCACATTAGGGAGGCTGGGGGTGGGGAATTGTTGGGCAGTCTCCGAGGAGCCCCTTGGTTGGGCAAGGCCTGGACCGCTCCTCACACGTGCCACATTGCAGCCGCCTGCAGTCCCGAGTGCGGATCCTGGTGGACGGGAGCCTGCGGCTGCAGGCTGCGCAACCCGATGACGCCGGCCGCTACACCTGTGTGCCCAGCAATGGCCTCCTGCGTCCACCCTCAGCCTCCGCCCACCTCACTGTGCTCTGTAAGCCTGACCCCAGCGTCTTCCCCAGCCCGCTCCCCTGCCCTGGGCCAGGCCAAGCCCCTCTCCCCCAACTTGCCACTGCTTTCCCCCAGACCCAGCCCAGGTGACAGCCATGCCTCCTGAGACACCCCTGCCCATAGGCATGCGGGGGGTGATCCGGTGCCCGGTTCGGGCCAACCCCCCGCTGCTCTTTGTCAGCTGGACCAAGGATGGGCAGGCCCTGCAGCTGGACAAGGTACGGGCTTGGGGCAGGGGCAGGAAGGTCTTAGCTTGGCAATGTCTTGATCAGAAGGATAGCTGGGTGGAGTTAGCACGGCTTAATCCAATTCAGCGACTAGGGAACATTCATTTTATTTTATTTTTTATTTTTTTTAGCAGAGGAGAAAGGGGGAAGGACTCTGGGATTACATACATTTAGTTTGTGCTGCCAGACATTTTGCATAGGAAACTTCGAAATCCCTGAGGAAAAATATCCATGGTTGAAAGTACAAGTGGTTGTGTTTCTTTTTTTTTTTTTTGAGACAGTCTCGCTTTGTTGCCCAGGCTAGAGTGAGTGCCGTGCCATGGCGTCAGCCTAGCTCACAGCAACCTCAAACTCCTGGGCTCAAGTGATCCTCCTGCCTCAGCCTCCCGAGTAGCTGGGACTACAGGCATGCACCACCATGTCTGGCTCATTATTTTTTTTTTCTATATATATTAGTTGGCCAATTAATTTCTTTCTATGTATAGTAGAGACAGGGTCTCACTCTCACTCTTGCTCAGGCTGGTTTGAACTCCTGACCTGGAGCAATCAGCCCGCCTCGGCCTCCTAGAGTGGTAGGATTATAGGCGTGAGCCACCGCACCCAGCCTACAAGTGGTTGTGTTTCTTATTTAGGGAAAGGGTGAGAGATGATTTCTGGGTGAAATGATGGCAAAGAGCTGAGAAGCAGCATAGAAGGTTATTTTGTGTGAGGACGGGGAACTGTGTGTCCTGGGAGAGAATACACTTCTTGCCAGGGGCTATGTGGAGACTGGGTGGGGGCAGGGGCAAGGACTGCCCTTTACAGAGGGCACTGGTGTAGGGGGGGACGACAGCAACATGGACACCCTGCTGCAAGGCTGAGGACGGACTAAGTGCCTTCCGCTTAGATCAGCAATAGATTCTGGGACTTTGGTGATGAGCCTTGAAGGGTAGACAGTCATCCCTCCTCCAAAACCAGGGCCCAGGTGCAGGAAATAGTATAGTGCATTTCCGGAATAATGAATTGCCCGGTTGGTTGAGGGGAGCCGGAGTGCCTGTGGGGACACAGGAACAGAGCAGAGAAAACTGGAAAGACAGGTCGAGGCCAAAAGAAAGAACTGTGGATGCCAAGTTAATATTACCTCATTCCAAGGTGATTGGGATCTTTTGTCTACAGAGACTGTAAATTCCTTCAGGCCTAGTATTGCATCTTTTAATCACAGCATGTCTCCAGGGCTTCTACAATAGTAGTACTCAGTAAATTTTTGTTGAATATTTAAAAAAAAAAAGTCTAAAGGCAGCTGGAGGCGGTGAAGTTTTTTCTGCAGTGGTGTGAGCGGTGAGCAGGAGTTGAGGATGTGAGAAGGAATGGAACGGAGAAAGTGGATGCGGGAAGAGAGGGTCCGGAGGCCATTGAAATGATCCAGGCGAGGGGTTATGAAGTTGGAGTTAGGATGATATGAAGATGGATGGGCCCTTTTGCCCAGGATGACAGGTTTGGTGAGGGTTTAGCTACAGGGGTAGTGAGGGAAAGGGGTCAACTTTAGCAAGGACAGTGGGGCGGTTTGTGGTGGAAGACGCTGAATGTCATTGTGGAGTGCTGGGACCTGGAATTCAGAGAGGTCAGGCCTAGATACAGATCTCGTGTTGCCATCCTGGTCTTGCCCCTGCTGAGTTTCTTTCTCCAGTGTCCTCTCCTCTTCCTTCCAGTTCCCTGGCTGGTCCCAGGGCACAGAAGGCTCACTCATCATTGCCCTGGGGAACGAGGACGCCCTGGGAGAATATTCCTGCACCCCCTATAACAGTCTTGGTACTGCTGGGCCCTCCCCGGTGACCCGTGTGCTGCTCAAGGTGAGGCCCAGGGTGGGCCAGCGCCTGCAGCAGTAGCTGGTTGGGTGGCTGAACATGTGGCCTGAGGCCAGGCTGATGGGTGGGGTGAGGCCACACACATGGGGAGAGGATTCCAAGTCAGTGTTTCCCATGGTGGCCGCAGCAGCAGTTGTGACAGGCCATTCCAGAGGCCTACGCAGAGATGGCACAGGGGATGTGGGACATCAGTCACACACACACCCGTTAAGTTAGATTGCCTAACTGTCCCAGCTCTCACTAACCCTGACCATACTGCCTCCTCTCTGGAGCCCTGGAGAGGTTGGTACACCTCGGTGGAGTCCAGCTCAATGCGCCAGTCCTTACTATCCCACCATTTCCCTCCAGCCCTGCCTGCTGGGGAACATAGAATTAGACAGAAGCTTAGAGGTGGAAGCTGAGACATGCAGTGTGGCAGGGAGCCCAGAGAAGGGGAGCCACCAACCTTAGACAGTGACGTAAGAGAGGCAGGCAGGAGAGAGGCCCCTCCCAATGCCAGATCTGGCTTGCAGGCTCCCCCAGCTTTTACAGAACGGCCAAAGGACGAGTATTTCCAAGAAGTAGGCCGGGAACTACTCATCCCCTGCTCTGCCCGAGGAGACCCTCCTCCTGTCGTCTCCTGGGCCAAGGTAAGACCTGTACCTGTGCCCACTACTCCCCTGCCTCTCTCCGCCCCAGGCCATTCTGTGGGAAGGAGGACGTGGGGAAGAGAGGGCTGTCAGAGGCAGGGTGGGGAGGAAATGATCTGTCTGGAAAGATGAGGGGCGCCCTTGGTGAGGGGTGGCTGCGTGTGTCCTCAGGGCTGACCAGTGGTTCTGTAGGTGGGCTGGGGACTGCGGGGCCAGGCCCAAGTGGACAGCAACAGCAGCCTCATCCTGCGACCGTTGACCAAGGAGGCTCATGGGCGCTGGGAATGCAGTGCCAGCAATGCTGTAGCCCGAGTGGCTATCTCCACAAATGTCTACGTACTGGGTTAGTGGCTGAAGAGTGGGCTGGGGGCTGAGGGAACCACGTGGGACGGGGCAACCAAATGAGAGATCGTGGGTGTGGGGGCCCAGGGATTATGGGTGGAGGTCAGAGGCCCTGGGGCCCCCTCCACTCTCCACCCTCCCACAGGGCCTTGACCATCATCCCTCCCTCCATTTCCCCTTACCCAGGCACCAGTCCCCATGTTGTCACCAATGTGTCTGTGGTGCCTTTGCCCAAGGGTGCCAATGTCTCCTGGGAGCCTGGCTTTGATGGTGGCTATCTGCAGAGGTTCAGTGTCTGGTACACCCCACTGTGAGTGACCTGCCCCTGCCCTTCCTCTGCTCCAGCCTTGCCTCCTCTCTCCACCCAGAATCTCTCTGGCCTCTGCCCTTCCTCCCATCCCTCTATTCCTAGCCGGCGCTAGCTCTGCTGCCCTGTCTGCAGACTCTGAAATGTTGAGGGCCCAGGTCTTGAGATCTTGGATGGTTAAGCAGTGGGGGGTCTGGTCAGCTCTCTGGATCTCGAAACTTCCTGGTCTTCCCGGCTCATGAGGTGCCCCCCATTTCGTTGTGTCCTCCAGGGCCAAGCGTCCTGACCGAGCCCATCATGACTGGGTGTCCTTGGCAGTGCCTGTGGGGGCTGCCCACCTCCTGGTGCTAGGGCTGCAGCCCCACACCCAGTACCAGTTCAGCGTGCTAGCTCAGAACAAGCTGGGCAGTGGGCCTTTCAGCGAGATCATCTTGTCTGCTCCTGAAGGTGAGGCCTCTCACCCGAGGGGAGCAGCAGAGACAAGGGTGGGGAAGGGCTGGCTGGGAAGCCAGGATATGGGAGGACCTGGGTGGGATGGCGCTGGGCTGCTAGGCAGCTTGAGGTCCAGGGGGTGCATGGAAAATGATTGCAGCTTGTCTTTAGGGGCTCTGGGAGAATGGTTGGGCACTGTGGACTGTGGAAGGCCAGGGGCAGGATGGGGCAGGGCTGGGGAAATCCTCTCTCTGATCTGCCTATCGGTCCTATTCAGGGCTTCCTACCACACCAGCTGCCCCCACGCTTCCCCCGACAGAGATACCACCTTCTCTGTCCCCTCCGCGAGGTCTGGTGGCAGTGAGGACACCCCGGGGGGTACTCCTGCATTGGGATCCCCCAGAACTGGTCCCTAAGAGACTGGATGGCTACGTCTTGGAAGGACGGCAGAGCTCCCAGGGCTGGGAGGTGCTGGACCCGGCCGTGGCAGGCACGGAAATACAGCTGCTGGTGCCAGGCCTCATCAAGGTGTGTGCAGGAAGCGGGGCAGGCGGCGTCCTCCTCCCTTCCTCAGACCCCACCTTCCCATCCTGATTTGGCCGTCTTCACCTCCCACGTCCTACCTCACCATTTTGTCCCACCTGCAAAGTTCTCCCAAATGGGGCTGGGGGGGCGGTGCGGGCCCTGACCTTCCTGCCACCCCATCCCCAACCTGCAGGATGTTCTCTACGAGTTCCGCCTTGTGGCCTTTGCCGGTAGCTATGTCAGCGACCCCAGCAACACGGCCAACGTCTCCACTTCCGGTGAGAACCTGGCGGGCGGTGAGAGCGCGGGGGATTGCGAGGGATCCCAGCCCACTGACCCTCCCGCGCACGGCCCTTGCCCAGGTCTGGAGGTCTACCCGTCGCGCACTCAGCTGCCCGGCCTGCTGCCCCAGCCCGTGCTGGCCGGCGTGGTGGGCGGGGTCTGCTTCCTGGGCGTGGCCGTCCTCGTGAGCATCCTGGCCGCCTGCCTCATGAACCGGCGCAGGGCTGCCCGCCGTCGACGCAAACGCCTGCGCCAAGGTAGTGCCTGCCGCCCTTGTCCTTTCTATCCTTTCTGTCCTTTCTATCTGAGCACTTGGGGCCCGGTCCCAAGTGCTGCTCGTCCCCATAACCCTCCCCACCCCCGCACCTGGAGGGAACATCTTTCCCACCCGTGTGGTCCAGGTGCATTCCCACAGCCCTGCATCAGGTCTTGCCTGAGCTTTCCCCAGCCTGGTGTTGGGTGAAGGGTCCGCGCTTCGGGCCCTGGAAGAGTTTGGGGTTCTCCTGTGTCACCTCCTGTTCTCATGTCCTTACAGATCCACCTCTTCTCTTTTCTCCACCCGGGAAGTCAGCTTCACAGTAAGCACCTCCCCCTCCTTGGCTTCTGCCTTTCCATTGTGCCTGTCAGTATCCTTTGCTTCCTTTTCTGCACCTCCAGGAGGGGTGGGAGGGGCAGGAACTGAAGTTGGAGTGCGGTAAGAAGGGGAGTGCAGACGCCCCAGCCTGGGGACCGGTCCAGTGTTGCCTGTACCTTCCCTCCACCCCTTCCACCACGTTGCTCCTTTGCTCGCTTGTTCTCCTTAGCCCTGCTCTGTTTTGCACCAAACTTCTTAGGCCTGATGCTGGCTCCTGGGAGGGAGACTGGCTCCCTGCCACAGACCCTGATCTCCTGTCCTTGCAGCTCTGCTCCCGGCTCAGACAGTCCTGACAGCGTGGCCAAGCTCAAGCTCCAGGGTTCCCCAGGCCCGAGCCTGCGCCAGAGTTTGCTCTGGGGGGAGACTGCTGGACCCCCCAGCCCTCATCCAGATCCTCCACCAGGCCGGGGACCTTTACCTCTGGAGACCATTTGTCGGGGCCCAGATGGGCGCTTTGTGATGGGACCCACGGTGGAGGTCCCTCAAGAAAGGGCAGCCCAAGAGCAGGCAGAACCTCGGACTCCAGCCCGGCGTCTGGCCCGGTCTTTTGACTGCAGCAGCAGCAGCCCCAGTGGGGCACCCCAGCCCCTCTGCATTGCAGACATCAGCCCTGTGGGGCCCCCTCCAGCAGCCCCGCCCAGTCCCCTGCCAGGTCCCGGACCCCTGCTCCAGTACCTGAGTCTGCCCTTCTTCCGGGAGATGAATGTGGATGGGGACTGGCCCCCTCTTGAGGAGCCTGGCCCTGCTGCACCCCTAGATTACATGGATACCCGGCCCTGCCCCACCTCATCTTTCCTTCGGCCCCCAGACTCGCCACCTGTGTCCACCAGGGCAGCACTCCCTGGGGCTGTGGTAGGGGCCGGGGCTGCCCCAGAGCCCCCTTATACAGCCCTGGCTGACTGGACACTGAGGGAGCGGCTGCTGCCAGGCCTGCTTCCTGCCGCCCCTCGCGGCAGCCTTACAAGCCAGAGCAGTGGGCGGGGCAGCGCCTCGTTCCTCAGGCCCCCCTCCACAGCCCCCTCTGCAGGAGGCAGCTACCTCAGCCCTGTTCCAGGAGACACCAGCAGCTGGGCCAGTGGCCCTGAGAGGTGGCCCCGAAGGGAGCATGTGGTGACAGTCAGCAAGAGGTGAGGGCAGTTGCTGCCCATCCCTGCCCTGGCCCTGGCCCTGGTCCTGCCCTGTCATCCCAGATCATCTTCCTACCCCTGCCCTAATACCCTGCACCTTCTCCGCTCCATGTGCACCCTGAGAACAGGAGACCTTGTCTCCTTTTAGAAGCTCTTGCTGAGGTCCAGGGATTCCCAAGGTAAACGCATGGCCCAACCTCAGTTTGGGGACCCCAGGTTCAAACTTTTCTGAACACACTCTTTCCTCTACCCACACCACGTTTGTCACTTTTAACAGGAGGAACACATCTGTGGATGAGAACTATGAATGGGACTCAGAATTCCCTGGGGACATGGAATTGCTGGAGACTTTGCACCTGGGCTTGGCCAGCTCCCGGCTGCGACCTGAAGCTGAGCCAGAGCTAGGTGTGTGAGCCCTCCAGAGAGACAGGCACTCCTGGCAGCAGCGCTGTCCTGCATCCCCACTGCCACCTGAGGACCTGTCTGTTCCCAGTCAGGCCCTTTGCCCCAAGCTCCTCCACTCTAGACTGAGTCTTACTCCCTTGGTCCCTGTCCTGAAGGCCCTAGGGTGCTTCACGTCTGAGCGTTTCACCCAGAGAACCTCAAGGCTTCTTCTCTCATTGTCCTGCGCTCCTCTCCAGGTGCGAAGACTCCAGAGGAGGGCTGTCTCCTGAACACTGCCCGCGCTACTGGCCCCGAGGCCCGTTGTGCTGCCCTTCGGGAGGAATTCCTGGCCTTCCGCCGCCGCAGAGATGCCACTAGGGCTCGGCCACCAGCCTATCGGCAGCCAGCCCCCCACCCTGAACAGGCCACTCTGCTGTGAACACCGCTAATGCGAGGCTGGGCAAAGGCATGTGGACCTGCAGAGGAGGCCCCCAACAAGATCTAGCTCCAACCTAGGGCACTGCCCCTGCCCCTTTGGTGCCCAGGCACAAACCCTGATAGTGGGGCTTGTTGAGCTTGGTATGGGATGTATGTGCTGACCCCCCTAGGTGAGTCTGGGGATTGGAACAGGGATCTTAGGCCTGCCCCTTTGTGTGTGTGTGTGTGTGTATGTGTATGTATGTATGGGTGTGGGTGTGGTGTTTGTGGTGTGGGTGAAGTTTTTTACAGGTGAATAAAGAAAATCTGAAAATTTGCTTCTGTCTGTTATCTGGCTTTGACTCTAAGAGAGAGAGGTAGGAAAATCCTTTGGCCCTTAAAGAGGAGAGGGATCTTCCTGAATGTAAGGGGGCTCTTACTGAATGAGTAGGGGTGCATTCGACATCCATTCAAGAAGCCTTTATTAAGTGCCTACTGAGGTCAGCTACTAAAGACCAGCCATTGGGCTAGATGCTGAGAACAAAGTTTATTAAGACATGCCTTTGCCCTTGGGGAGTTATTTCTAGGCAGTGAGGCAGACAAGTAAAGAAATAGTTACAGTATGATGTGATAAGTCCTGTGATAAAGCCATGTGTTGATTATTGTGGTAGCACAAAGGAAAGAGTTCAGCTCAAGTCAACAAACGTTTAGAGAATGCTTACGGCGTGTGCTGGGACAAATGGTACATATGAGGGATCCTCAAAGAAGGTGGTAATAATAATAGCATTCACTGTGTGCCAGGCACTGCTCTAAGCTCTTAATGCATGTACTGTTTCATTCTCTACAGTTCTGTGAGTTAGGTAGTACTGTTAGTTCTGTTTTATAGATTAGGGAACTGAAGCATAGAGTGCTTTAGTAATCTGCCCCAAAGTCACAGTGGGTTAAGTCGGAGCAGGTGAGAAGCTGCTTAGGAAGGGAGGGCATCCCAGGCAGCAGAATAGCCTTGGTAAAGGCACAGGGGAGTGAAAATGCTTGACACTGGATAGGACTGGAATATAGGGCTGGGTAGGACTTGGGAAGGGGACAAAGTGAATGGAAAGATTGATTGTTGTTGTCCTTGAATATCAGACTCCGTGAGGGACTATTCTGGCGTCCTCAAACTACAGCCCTCGAGCCACATGCTGCCCGCCAAGGACATTTATCCAGCCCACCAAGTGTTTTTGCCATCCCTGCCTATCCTGCTTAGCAGCCGGCCGGCCCACGGTGCGCATGTGTGGAATGTGCACTGCACTCTCCAACGGTCTGAGGGACAGTGAACTGGCCCCCTGTTTAAAAAGTTTGAGGATCCCTGGACTCTATTATAAGTGAAGATGGTAAATGACGAGCTCCACTGATGGCTGTAGTCAGGACTCCACCCCAGGGAGACTCAGCTCAGCTCGAGCCTGAAAGGGTAGGAGGTGCTCCTTCAACCGCAAAACTATGCTGCCCTCCACCCGCAGAGACAGAAGAACCCCCACTAGCTTCCTCCTCCACTGAGACCTCCCCCTCTGATCCCTCTAGGATTTAAGAAAAGAGGCCAGGTCATAAATGAGATGAAAGGGAGAGAGAAGTCAGGTCTGAACCGGGAGTCCCAACGCTGACCACGCCCCTCAATGCCCTGGGCAAAGGGTGACCTCACTGTTAGTTCCTGCCTAGGCTTGCAGCAGGTGGGGAGCAAGACCACGTGGGGGTGCTGCCCCAGCCTGCAAGCCCCAGTCCTATCACACCCTAGTCAGTTGGGGTGGGAGGGTGTCTTCCTATGCCTTAGTTTACTTTGACAGCCCCCCCCCTTTTTGAGACATTGTCTTGCTCTGTTGCCCTAGGTAGAGTGCAGTGGCATCATCATAGTTCACTGCAACCCTAAACTCCTGGGCTCAAGCCATCCTCCTGCCTCAGCCTCCCAAGTAGCTGGGACTACAGGCGTGCACCACCATGACAGGCTAATTTTTCCTAGTTTGCTCAGGATGGTCTCGAACTGCTGGCCAAAAGCAATCATCCCGCCTCGGCCTCCCAGAGTGCTAGGATTACAGGCATAAGCCACCGCACCTGGCCTGCCAGCCTTTTTAAACTAGGAGGCTTCTTCCCGCGTAAACACGCCCACAGTCTTGGGCTAACTTTCTAGGCAGAAAGTTTCCTACTGGGGCATGAGTCTATGGGCTCCTGGGTGGCGATTGGGGTTCTCATGGGTGGAGACCACTGCAGCTGTCTTTGTAGGCCCAGACTTCCAGATTCCTTAACCCTTCCTCTGGTCCACTGCCCCTCTCCTAAGCATTCCTATCTCCTTCTCCGCTGCGGCGCCTTTAAACCTTCTCTGCCCTTGCCCCGCCCCTGGTCCGCCCCGTCTGAGGCGGGACCCTCCTGAAAACCCCCCGGCCCGGCCCGGGTGCACCACTCGCCGCCGCAGACCCAGCCTTGAGCGTGCAGCCCGCCCGAACGGTGAGCAGGATGCAGGGACCAAGGGGGGATGTGCATGGTCTGTAGAGACAGAGAAGCCAGCGCTTGGGACTTGCTCCAGCTAGCTTGGGGATCTAGGGCTGGCACCAGGCTAGGGTCCGATGACTGCTCTGCCCCGCCCCGTGCTGTCAGGTCCGGTGCCCAAGTCCTGACCGGGCATTGTTGGACGATGAGGTCAGGCGACGTTTGTCGGTGCATAGACGGGGCGTCCGTCTGGAGAGGGGACTCAGGGACTGAGCCCCACCCGCCGGCTCCAGCGACGAGTCCTCATTGGAGCGAGGGAAAAAAGAGTGTCGGACTTTAGCCTGCTGGCCCGAGTGACGGCGCGTACTGGGTCCTGGCGCCGGCTCTGGGCCGGCTCCGCGCTCCTGGGGCTTCCCGCGCGACCCTTCACTTCCTGGTTCTGGGAGCACGTGTGGGCGCTGCATGACCTCTGCGTCCCCGGGGCCGCCCTGTCTGTCCCTTCTGCTGCCAGTTCGCTTTTCCGGAGACGCAGGGTTACGGGCTGGGGCTAGGGGACTCCGTGCGTCGGCCCTCCTGTGGCCTCGCCTTCCGCGAAGCCCCAGTCGTCTCCAGGAGAGTCCCCCGACCTCAGGCACCTGGGGGCTGCAGCCTAGACTGTGCCCCGGGGTGCCCCGTCTGTGTGTTTGAGGGGGGTAGAAATTTGCTGCTTTCCATGCCCTCCTACTTCTGCCCGAGCCCCGCTGCCCCACCCCGTGCCCCCCGCTGCTGGGAAAGCCGGTGGTGGCCGCGGGCGGGCGGGCGGGCTGCCCAGACCACTGCGTCACCCCAGCGGCTGGCGGGCGGTGGGTGACTCATCCGCTGTAACGGCCAGGGTGTGGCCGTGGGGGTGGGGGCGGCGGCTGTGGAGGCTGGACCTGCGGGACCGGAAGTGGACTGCCGCCTTCCCCGGCTCCGCGTGTCTCTTGGGGCCTCCTGGAGCCCGTACTATGGAGGTTCTCAGGGCACCTGGTACCTGTGGGGTAGAAAGAAACGGGGTGGAAGTGGGGTTCTGGTGTTGGAGGAGACCTGTGGCTTGCATGCCCCCACTTTTCTGATTCCAAAGCGCCAGACAGGGACAGCTCCTGTCTCCAACCCCCTCCTAATTTCTCCTTCCTACCCCATGGGTCAGACCTAGAACTGCAGAGGCCATGGCAGGGCGGGGCCAGCAGGGTCCTATCCTTCCACATCCAACAAATAGTCTTTGTCCAACTGTAAATCCGCTCCCTCTCCCCTCAGCGTCTGCCCCCTGCGGAGTGGCCTCTAATCTTTTCTTCATTCTATCCCTTATCCCTCCAGAATTCTCAGGTGTGGATCCTCTAGCTCAAAACACACCTTCCCTTCCCAGGGCATTTTGTCTCCTGAACTACTGCTTCCTTGAGTCTGCTTCTCTACCCCCAAAGGGGTCCTTTCTCATCTCCTCCAAATGCTCTCCCTACCCCTTGTAGCCACCTCCTGGAGGAATCCCTTGCACCTGGCTATGCCCAAGAACTGCTGTGAGGATCCCACTGTTCCCCTGGGCTCAGAGCCTCCTCCCCACAACGTCCGTGTTGAGCGGGTGTTTCTGCCAGGTGCCCCCACCCTGCCTCCATGCCTGTGTTTGGTACACAGAAGCCATGGCAACGGTCCCCACCTCATCCCCTCCTCCTGCACAAGCCTTGTGGCTTCCTGTTTGTGCAGCCTCAGCTTTCTCTTCCCCTCACAATTCTTGGTGGATTCTTGGTGGTGAGGGGCTGCCCCAGGGGGGTTCCTTAACCGTGGATCCCCACCATCCTTGCTTCTGCCTGCTTCCTGTGGCACCTCCCTTTGTGGGCTGGTGTCTCCGCCTCGTCTCGCTCTTTCAGAATAGTCCCTGCCCCAAGTTTGAGCTGGGAAGTTCCCCTGTGTCCCATCTGCATGCACGGTGAATGGAAGACTTCCTTTGTCTTACCAATTAAACACACCAGCCAAGAACCCTCAAATCCCTCCACTCCACCCCATGTCCGCCTTTTCTTTGGCTTTGGTGTCCTGGGTGGGGTAAAGTAAGCTTCCAGCCTGGGGTCTGGGTGGGGCTGAGGGCTGGAGTGCCTGTGGAGGCCCGTGCCCCGTTCCTGACTATTGGAACCCGAGGATGGGGGTGAGGGTTGTTGGCACAGCTGTAGTCAGCTCCAGAGTTTAGGTTGCTCACTGCCAACCCATCCCCCAAGTTGTTCAGCTGTTGCCTTCTCTTGGGGTCCCCAGCTCTGGGGCATCTCCCACACCTGTCTTCCAGTCGGGCGTATCTCTTCTCCCCACCCTGGTAGGCGACTGGCTATTCTCTCTTTCTTTGAGGGAAGGCAGGGGTAGGTTCCTGGGTGTCGCTAGGGTGGGCCTCCACAGTTCCAGCAGCTGAAGCCTGTCAGCTCCGGCCTGGCCTCGGGGGTGGGGAGGAGAGACAGCTGTTGGCCAGGCTGGGCCTGGCTGGGCTTACCCCTCCCCCGAGCTCCGCCCTGTGGCTCTGGCACCTCAGGGTTCTAGGGCAATGGCCCCACAGCGGAGCAGATACACTGCAGCTGGAGGTCCAACCCTGCCAGCTGTGTCCAGGCTCCAGAGTGGGGGAGGGGCCCTCAGTAGCCACCTTCTGCCAGGAGATGGCCTGGGAGGCTAAGTTTGTCCTGCCCCTGGGGAGAAGGGAACACTGGAAGGCTCTGGCATCCGGCCCTTCCCTCCTCTTGGAACCCTGGTGTCTTAAGTTAATAATTCTCCTGCACTTTCTTTAGCTGTGCCATAGTGATCCCTGGGCCAAGTGTGTTTCTAGCCACTTGGTCCTTGGAAACAGTCCTGAAACCCA